ATGCAATTTCCATTAGCTGGAAGCTTTAAGGGGCTCTCCCACTCCATAACAGTTGGACTTGGGGTATGAGGCACAGGCAGAAAATGGGGTTCAAAAGAAATAGGAAAGAGATCCAAGGGCCTTTTTGCTTAAAAAAAAAAGAAAGAAAGAAAGCAAATGCAGATGAACACTGAGCCTGGAGAGGCTGCGGAGGGTGGGGACCAGGCAGATGGAAGCCGTGGCTGCCGCGATGAGACTGTGCAGAGACTGACTGAGCAAAGAGATTTGAGAAGACACTGGACTGCATGCCAGGAGACAAACATGGAGGTACAGACGAACGGTGACATTATCAGACAATGGAGACGGTTCTCTAATTTCGATGGAAAAGTATGAATTCATAGATTCTGCTCAGCATATTCTGAGCAGAATAAAGAAGAAATTCCAGGCCCGTGTGTGTGCTGAATTGTGTCCCTGCAGAATTCATATGTTGCAGTTCCAAACCCCAGTACCTCCGAACATGATGACATTTGGGGACCCAGTCCGTGCAGGTGCAGTTGGTGAAGATGCGCTCACGCTGCAGTGTGGTGGCCCCCAATCCAATGGCACAGACGCATTAGGGGAAAGGGGCATTGACACACCCAGCTTCCCTGTAAGGAGATCCCGGAGTATAAATAGTTTCTATTCATAGGTACATGTACACACACCGTATATGGGGGAGACAGAGCCAGGTAAAGAAATGTGGCAAAAGGTTGCAAAGTGGCGAATCCGGGTAAAGGGCACATCCGAGCTCTCTGCACTTTCTTCAACCTTTCTGTAAGTTTGAAATTACCTTTAAATAAACAGGAATTTTTTATTTTATAAATTTAGGACAAACAAAATATAAAGGAGTCGAGCAACACGAAGAGCTTGATCTGATGGATAAACACAGGATGCCGTGCTCAGTAACCAGAGACCGCGCCTTCTTCCCAAGCAGACACCCAGAACTTCGACAGGAATGAAAGTGAAAACAGTCGGAGTCACGTAGACCACATCTTCAGAAACGATGCACAGACTTCTTACAGATACAAGATCGTCCCGTCAACGGCATCAAAACAGAGGAGAGAAGCGCACACCGAGAGTCACTTCCAGCATGACCCACATGGCGACACGGATCCTGGGCCACGTCCCACGGTACCACGCTGCGTGGGGCCCACGGTCCTAGTCCCAGTCTCTGCGACGCTCAGTTGGCTGCAGCAGTTCCTCTGCCCACATGCCACGTGTTCCTTGGCAATGCCAGCCTGCAGTTGGCACACCCTTCCTGGGATGGTTGTTCACATTTCTTAAAAATGAAAAAGCAATCATCTAAGCGTGAGAAAACGAGCGTAGGGAATGAACTTGGACTCCTTTACATGCTGTTTGTTTAACGTGGCCACTTAATATCTGTGATGGTTTTGACCCTGTGCATTACAAACTCAGAAAGATGGATGCCCTCCCAGTGTAGGCGAGTCCTGGCCTTGCTTAATGTCGCTTCCTTGTTTTGCAAACCTGAGGACAGTACTAACCCACCTCAAGCTAACTGTGAACAACAGCCAGGTCCTGAAGCCCCTGACAAACACAAAACACATTTGTGGTTTAAATACAGACACGGAGCAATTCACCTTTTGCAATTAAACCAGGAAATCTTCACTTGCATGTGAAATGAGGAGCCCCGCCCCTGCCCACAGTGACCCGGTGACTGGTCCCCAACTTCATCCACCGGTGCCACTACTGCCCAGAGCACTTCTAGAACTACACCCTCTCTTATGACTTGAAAATTAATATTTCAGAACTTCAAAACAAAGCACAGGCTTCCAAGAGGACACTTGACGAGGTTACACAGGAAGTGCTATCCATCCACAATTCAGCCCCGTGCACGTCCAGTTTCAGATGACCCCAAAGCAGGAAGTTACTCCTTTCCTGTGCAAAGAAGCCAGATTTAACCATTCTCATAGCCCCAGATCAAGCAGGAAGTGACACACATGTACAGAGTCCAGAGGGACAGAATGCTTTCCACAAAGAATGCAGACGGCTGGGCAGAGAACGGAGGAGATTAGGACACGGAAGTCACACAGACGTAAAGACGGAAGACCATTCCAAGGCTCATGAGAAGTTAGCCGCAAAGAAACTTCACACAGCATCTGGGAGTTGGCATTGTAATTAATACAAATTCCTGATCAAAATGCAAGCCCTCGGCCCCACAGAGGCTGGAAGGAAGTTCAGTGCTTCCTCTGAAGCAGCAAGAAGCAGGCTCTGGGGGAGCTGGCCCAGGACAGCAGCAAGCAGGACCCCCAAGTGGCACAGGAGTAACGTGGACAAGGCCAACAGGAATGGTCCAAAGAGACTGAGTTCCTGGCCCCAGCTAGCGCCAAGCACAGGCAACTGTTCTTTAGAGGGGAGGACCTAGAAATTCACACCAGACTCAAATGCTACAGCTGGTCTTTGCACGTAGAGTGAGGTGTACACGTAAATCACATCACAAAGTGTAGATTCAACTGACGTCAAAGTAACCTCTTTGCTGAAAATTTAAAGACCCAAGTTAGAAATGGACAGTGAGACCTCTCTGTGATTGAGCCCCTCTGTGTTTTCCACGAGTGATGTGGAGGAACGCATTGCTGTCCATGAGTGATCTCAGCGCAGTCTGGGGAAATGTTGCTACAGTTCCAAGGGTCAGAGCTCCCAGCCCACCGACACCGTCTGGATTTGGGGCACTGCAGAGGCACGCCTGGACCCGCAGCGGCCTGCCTGGGCTGCCCTGATGAGCCTCACTCCCCTGCAGCAACAGCAGCAGTCCTGCCTCTCCTACTGGGGACGGCCCCAGGGGGCCCTCCACACAGAGCTCCGGCTGGTGCTCTGACAGAACGTAGATGAGGAAGCTCAGGCGAGGAGGCCACCTGCCTGTGGTCGCCCAGCGAAGATCTCAGGGGGCCCAGGGGGCCGGGCTCAGAGCCCAGGGGCAGCACTTGTCTGAACTAACCTCCCCCTGAGAAGCGCCCCTGCCCACTAACGTCCCCTCTGCCCACAGCACCCCAGGCCATGCAAAGAACAGTAGAATAGTTCCATGTATAATGGGAGTTTGGTATTGGGGTTTGGTTTTTTTAGTTTTGTTTTATGATTATGATTAGACTTCTTAGAAGAAACTAATGAAATCTAGATGAAAATATCCATTTTAAGGACCCTTTTTCAGCCTAGTTTATATATATATATATATATATATATATATATATTTTTTTTTTTTTTTTTGAGATGGAGTTTCACTCTTGTTACCCAGGTTCAATGCCACGATCGCAGTGGAGCAATCTTGGCTCACCGCAACCTCTGCCTCCTGGGTTCAGGCAATTCTCCCGCCTCAGCCTCCTGAGTAGCTGGGATTACAGGCACACGCCACCATGCCCAGCTAATTTTTTGTATTTTTAGTAGAGACGGGGTTTCACCATGTTGACCAGAATGGTCTCGATCTGTTGACCTCGCGATCCACCCGCCTCGGCCAGCCTAGTTTATATTATGTCCTGCAAAGAAATTATAACTGCTGGGAAGTTGACCGAAATGACTCCATTAGCCTAATCGTGTGTGTGTGTGTGTGTGTGTGTGTGTGTGTGTGTGTGTGTGTGTGTGTTTTAAAAGCAAATCTCAAGGCTTCTGTGTGGCAGTGCCCTCAGTGTAAACCGCACCTTAGACAAGCTGCCAGCAGGCAGATTTCAACAGCGGGACCCAGGCCATGGCTTTTGCTGTTAGGAGGTGTCCAGCAGCTGTGTCTCAAGGAAAGGTCTGAGTGAGGAGCCAAATTTATGGTCTAAATTCAGCCCTTGTAGCAGCCACGCAGGCTCTGGCTATGTCCCAGAAGGCTTCCCTGAGGCCGGATCTGATGGAATCCAGCGTGATGAAGTGACGGCCGGACCCTTCCTCACCACGGTGGCGCTGGGACACTGGTCTCACCGTCAGGAGGTGCCCTTCTCACTGCAGAGCTGACCTAAGTACACAATGTTTTGGAAACTACAAAGCTTAGCACAGGGTTTGGGTCCTGTTAGTTTCAACAAAGAGTGCAGCCCGTCAGGGAGCTGGAAGCGTCTCACACCCTACAGCAGTGGTGAGAGCTGCATGGCCAATGACGATGTTAGGAATATGACCTATTTATTTTAACAGTCTCCTAAAAATTCATTCCAGAGGCAAAATTCCATTCAAGTTCAGGGGGACAGTAGCGGCATGTTGATGGTGGTGATCACGAAGCTGAGTGGCCTCTGAGTGGGAGAACTGTGGATGGGCTGCACATTCTGAGAGCTGGGTTCTCAGGTGAGGATGCTCAAGTTATGAGCATGAGGAAAACAGGGTTCAAAATAAGAGAGATGAAATGACATGAGGACAGGGTACAGCAAAGTCACAAAGCCAGAAAACTCTAGTTTACCCAGAGGATTGGATTTTTGAGTCCAGGGAGATTTCGGGAAACAATGTGGTGGCATCTAGGATACCACCGTATCCTGCAGGGCTGTGCCGTGTGAACAAGTAACACCCATTTATCTTGGTTGCTGCTCCGGCCATGCAGCCAGGCCTACCCAGAAGAGCTGAAACACATGTCCTCGACTGAGGTCTGATGGCTTTTACAGAGGTGTCCAGACCTGGGTGCGCTCACACACACACAGAGAAGCGCGGGGCTCACAGCTCTTGGATAAGAACCTGGAAAGCATGCATTAAGCGGGGCAAGCCCCAGATTATCTGGGCAGCTGCTTGGGTCTTGGGGCTCCCCACTGATCCTCACTGTGCTGGACCTGGACCTCCTGCCGGCCCCCAAGGCTGCAAGGCCCCACAAGCTCCAGCTCAGAGCCACCAGATGAAGGACTGGGAACCCCACCTCGGCCCAGTCCTCTCTCAGCATGGGGGCACAGCATCCTCACAATTATCTGTGGGGAACTTGCCTACAGGGCTCAAGTATTTGCTAAACTGCAAGTGTCCACATCTCCACACACACGCACTCAAAGGAGCCCACGCGGGTTCCTGGTGACGTCGCTCACCTGTCTGCTTGTTGGGAAACTGCACAACTTCCAAGCCATCAGGGTAGGTCGTGCGGGTCGTCTGAGCATTTGCATTGAAGTAAATCTGAAAGCACCAGAAACACCTGTGTTGGGAGGCAGTTTGTTCTCGTTTTGAACCTGAATTTAATCTGGTGAAGTTTTCCCTGTGGTGGGAAAAGTGCCATCCCAGCAGGTGGGAGAGGGCCGGCCTTGTCCACGGGCACAGCCCACAGCAAGGGGGCACAGGGAGAGGGTTTGTCACCCAAGCCCAGGAGTCAAGACACCGTGGCTCTAGGCTAGTTGGGGAGAGGACTGGGGGGAGGTGGAGTTCCCAGTCCTTCATCTGGTGGGCTCTGGGCTGGAGCCGGCTGGGCCTTGAACCTTGGGGGCCGGCAGGAGGTCCAGGTCCAGCATAGTGAGCATGAGTGAGGAGCCCCAAGACCCAAATGCCTTTTTTGCATTTCCCTGCAAAACACGGAGCCTGCGAGTTAGTTTGGGTGAGTGGAAGAGCACACGGCGGGCACAGCACGGCTGTGTCCAGACTCTGGGCTTCCAGCGTAGCCCTCAGGAAGGGTCAAGAGGCTTAGCTGGAATAAAATCACAGCCACAATAGGGGCCTCTCGTTTTCTTTCTCTCTCTCTCTCTCTTGCTTTTTCTTTCTTTCTTTGCCTGTGAGCCTGTGGAAGAGGCTCGTCTCATCAGGCGAGCTCTGCAGTCTTTCAGGACTCCTGGACCCTGTGCCTCTAAACATGGACCCAAAGCTTGGTGAAAACAGGGAAGTTGACCGTTCTAAAGAAGGAAATGTTTAGAACACAATTTCAAGATGTTTGGGTACTAAGAGACTATTCTCAGTGCACTACAAACCCCGCCCTGACCTCGCTTATCTCACCTCATTCACAGTCTGTTTGGTAAATTACTCATGTTTTCTTATGTTAGAATCAAGTTACACCCTGAATCCTCTGCACAACGTTGCCACCCTGGAGATCTTGCCTGTAAGACCTCCAGACTCCTCAGCATCTGTGTTTTCCATGTACCGTCCCGGCACACACAGAGACACGAAGTGTGAACCATGGGGGTCAGAGCATCCGCACAGCCCCTCAGCATCAAGGGGGCCCCCAGCGCCTGTGATCTGTGGCTGTCCTCCACAAACACAGCATCTGCTTTTAGCAGGTATGCCCTCATGGTAACAGCGGCTGCCGGCTGCTGAGCAAGGCTGGAGCTCTCTGCTCCACCCACGAGGCGGCTGCGGGGCACGATGCCTCCTCCCTGCTGTGAAAGCCTCTTCCTGGATGGCATCTCCAGCTTGTGCCAGGAATTAGCTCCTGCCCCTGCCTAACTTTGTGGCAATACGAGTGCTACTCTGCCATCAGTGCACATTTACTGTTTACCATTGTTCTAGAGAGTTCCACAGAGGAGACATTATTTAATGGGCTGTGTTACTTCATAGCCATCTTTTGGGTTAGGTCATAATTATTAGCCACATTTTGCAGAGGCTCAGAAAAGCCAAAAACAAGGACTGAACGATGCAGTGGGAATTCAGAGCCAGGAGGGTGCCGGTGCACGCCTGTGTGGCCACGCAGATCTGAGGGTCTTGCCGAGGTCTCACTTGCCTGAGTGCACTGAGGGGACAGAACAGCCTGGCTCACAGACAGGCCCGCCCGACTCCACAGCCTGTGTTCTGCCCGCCCCTCACCCCATATCCTGAACACCCAGAGGAACAGGGTATGGATGTGCAGAATTCTTCCTAATAACTGACTTGGTTTTGATTTGTTTAAAAAGATACATCCGTCGTACTCACCACTCTCCGATCGGGTGTGATCTTCTTCACGTCACCGTTAGGAAAACGGATGATGGTCGTCTTCTTACCAGCGCTCGGCTCCTTCTGGCTCGGGTCGGGGAAGGTGGTGACGGCACAAGCTTTGCTCGGTGCCCGTCCTACCTTTATGGAAACACAAAAGCTCCAAGTTGATTATTGTGGTTTCATTATTTTTTCTTCCATTCAGAGTCGTTACATGACTGTCGCCTACACGGCATTCTCTACACCGGCTGCTGTATTTCCCTCAAAAATGTACTCACTAAATTGGTCAGGTGCAAATTCCCATCCCGAATCTGGTTATCAATAATGAACAAGTGTACGATTTGTCCCACAAACATCTGTCTTTCATAACAGCTCAGCTCACACAGTGGCCATGAGTCGAGATTATCCAGGCGCAGTGATTTGGTGAGTTTAGAATCCCGGCCACAGGAACTGCAGTAATTACTATGTAAAAAGTATTCGTGGGACACTTTTCTTTCCTTTCAGCCCCATTCTTCTGATCTGGACTCTCCTACAGTCCACCTCACAGATGTATTGGTTTTAATTAGCTGTCAGCAAATAGTACATAACCGCCTATGCGCAATGCTGCGGTAGGAATGCAGAAACAGTATCTTCGTCTTCACACTGAAAATATGACTCATGTGAAGATTGCCGCAAGAAAATAATCTCAACGTCTGGGGAGTCAGATAAGTGCATGTGAAAATCCCAAATGGCAAAATGTGTTTTTGTGATTCGTACCACATTGTCGCTCTTAAGCATCGCTCAGAAATACAGGAGTTAATTCAACTGGGAAAACACACAGGGAATAAAGCGAATGCTCAGCTTCCTAAATGCCTTCAACCACCCACCAAGCAAACCTTGACAGTGAGCCACCTGCTGGCCAGGATGACCGCCTCCTATTTGGGGTTTGAACCAAGGCTGCTCCTTCCTCTACTCCCAAACCAGCCAATGAATGAAGCAAGATGTGTTCAGTTCATATCCGAAGATGAATTTTTTTTTTTTTGAGATGGAGTTTTGCTCTTGTTACCCAGGCTGGAGTGCAATGGCGCGATCTCGGCTCACCGCAACCTCTGCCTCCTGGGTTCAGGCAATTCTCCTGCCTCAGCCTCCCGAGTAGCAGGGATTACAGGCACGCACCGCCATGCCCAGCTAATTTTTGTATTTTTAGTAGAGACGGGGTTTCACCTTGTTGACCAGGATGGTCTCGATCTGTTGACCTCGTGATCCACCCGCCTTGGCCTCCCAAAGTGCTGGGATTACAGGCTTGAGCCACCAGAAGATGAATTTTTAACCAACGCTAAACACACCAACAAAATTCATAAACAATTACTTTCAGAAGTTAAAAAAGCACAAACAAGTTTTCAATTGTTTCACATGAAAAGAATCATACAATCTATTTTGGAGTTTATATTATTCAAAGAAACAAAACACAGAAAAGCTGAGAACTTTGGCATATCCCATTCAAGATACACAAGAAGTAGATGCAAGATGAGTCACAAGAAGAGGAAAGTGATGAAGACCTGAGTGAGGGGTGGGGAGCCAGGGACGAGGGGCAGGCAGAGGCGGGGGAACGCTGGTTGTGGGGAGACAGGAAGGATCGCGCTAGCCGAGGGCACAGCGCGTTACCTGGTTCTTGTGTCCTCATGTCCTCATGTTTGTGGCTTCGTGAGCGTGAGTGATTGATTCCTCCAGGCACTTACTCGGCCGAGGAGGAACATCACTTACGTCTCATGGAGCCACCCATGGAGACAGCAAGATCAGGTACTCAAATGACCTGGGTTTCCTTTTCCCTGACAAACCACCCCAGCCACGCACTAGAGACAAACACATTTAAGTGAGTTCAAATGTTCCTGCAAGTAGCATTCCCTGTTGTCCACTAATCCAAATGCTTCATCTGCTCACAAGTCATAAATCCACTTTACTGAGGCACAGTTCACTCAGCAAGCGTGAGGAGGGGTCCTCGTTTCTGACAGGCCAAGCAGAGGCGCGACAGGAACGAACGGCTGAGCGGAACCAGTAGCAGTGAGGTGTTGTCAGGCAGGACTGGGCTCCTCGGGCTCACAAAACACCAGGAGCTGCGGCTGCAGCCGGGGCCCCTCCTGACCCCTTCCTGAGTCAGTGACGGCCACCGCCACCTGGACGCGTCCTTCAGGAGCTGAGCTCTCCTCAAGGGTTAAAATGTGGTGGCCAGAAGATACGTGACGCTGTAGTTTGGGGTTTTTTTACTATGTAAAAGACACAAACAAGTGCTCCTCCTGAAGACCGTGTTGCCTTATTTACTGAAATGAACCGCAGTCCACAATTCTAGAGGTGTCTGGCCTCTGGGTCAGTGCCCTGCGTGGCCTGTCTGGGGGGAGCAGCGTGCAGAGCGCCTGGACATTCCCTCGGAGACACGGACCGCCGGCATTCGTCTGCCTGGCCATCTGCATGTCCATTTTCTTCCTGCACTTCCTCCTTTTTCACATCAGTGTCCATGGCCTGTGCTGTGTCTCAGGAAGATGCTGGGTTTACGGGAAGATTCTGCAGAAAGAGCATAACCCTAGTTCCCCATGTCTCCATGAACACTGCAGTAGGAGGCGGGAGAAACACACCTTGCCCTGGCATTTGGCAGCCTCTGTCCTTATGTCGGGGGACACGGCTGGGCCCCGGAAGGTCAGCATCAGGACTTTGGACCACGTTCTGTGTTTATGAAAGGGGCTCTCTCCCACCTGTATGTGTGCTCCTCTGGGGTCAGGGTGGTCACAGTGACAACTGCCACGGTCAACACCTGATACAAATAACACACAGACAGACATCACCCGCCGTGGCTGCAGCGCTGTTTCTAAATGCAGACTTTCAGCCCTGAGGCTTCCAGGAGAACCCATTGTCTGGGTCCCCAAACAAAATAAAACCCCAGGAAAATTATCCCGCCCGTCCACCCACTGAAGATGTGGGTAAGGACAGAACGGAATTGGGCTTTTCCTGGGAGAACGGAAAACACGTGGGACGTGGGCTCTGATGCTTCCTCGCCAGGTGCCGACTTTTACACCTTACATAAGCTCACAGCCCAGGTTTCCTGCCGTAGAGAAAATCATCTCATTTCACTGACGTTTCTGTAAAATGCAGCATGTCATGACTAGATCGCGAGCTAGGGCTCAGAAGTGTGTTTGCTGCACTTGCCTCCGAGTCTATTAATGTCCATTGAGAACTGCAAATCAAAATGATAACAATGAAACTTTGACGTGGGACCTCTGAAGTCATGAAAAAGATGAACCTTGTCTGACTATGGGCTAAATGCAACCAACTTACATCTATAAGAAAGTAAAGTGTGTGTGAAAGGCTGAAAAGTGACTTCACAGGTCTCCCAGGGAGCCGGGTGGGCCACCCATGCAGCAGCCACTCAACCCGCCTACCTGCAGCTGTGCAGTGTTTGCAGAAGAACCGGCGAGCTCATCAGGTTGAACGTGGCTGAGAAATCCGCCTTCAGAACTCTCTGAGACTGAAGAGCTTCCGTCTAAAAAGCAAGCAAGTTCAGTTTAAAAGGGCAGTACATGTACACCGTGGAAACGTCATTATCCTAACGCAACTGCTAAATCCAATTTAAGCTGCTTGCGAACACGCTCTCTCGTTCATGAGATTACGATACACACCTCAGGTCCGTTCAACAGCAAATGACATTTGATTGTGTAAGGAGCATTAACTCTTTAATGAATATACCCGGTCGGCATTTCTGAGGCATCACTCTCTTTCAGGTATCTGATGGGTGAAGAGATTCGTGATGGAAGGCGCTGCTCTGGCCCTGAAGCTGATCACAGTCCGCAGCAGGCAGACACGGGACACAAAAGCCGACCCCTGCGCCATTGGTTTATGGGACCTATGAAGCCACAGGGGCCACAGTGAAGGGGCACCACAGGCTTCCATGAGAGTCAGCGGTCAGGGGAACTTCCCCAGGGTGGCGTCACTGTCACCTGTGATGATGCCTGGAGGGTGGCAGAGGCGCTAGCAGTTGTGCGGGAGACAAGGTGTCCCCTTCTTCCAGGCACTAGCAAGGAAACTGAGGACTTGTCCGGGGGGCCTGAGGGGAGGGGGCGGCAGGAGAAAGGTGGCCAGGCTAGTGTAGACCCACTGGGAAAGAGTTTCCCACCCTGCAGAGGAGCGCAGAGGGACCGTGAGAGCACGAAGAGCCTTCGGGGGTCTGAGCAGAGAGATGGCACTGGCCTCACATCTATGGAGCTCCCTGAAAGGCCATGAAGCAGCCTGGTGACAGGAGGCCCGGGGAGCAGACTCGGGAGGAAGACAGTGCCAGGCTGGCCCTGCAGGGCCACACAGGCCTGGGCGGAGGATGGGAAGGAGTCCAGGTGCCAGGCAGCCCAGGGTGGGTGCTGCCCACAGGCTAGGGCTGTGCTGTGCATAAGGGCCACACCTGAGGCTCGGCCACACCTGAGGCTCAGCCACCACATGGGTTCCATTTCTTTACCGAAAAAGGCTCCTGTGGGGGTCTGAAGCTGCTATGGTCAGTTTCTGGCAGCGACATGGGGAAGGAGTTCTGTCCCGACTCACACAGGGGCGGTCTTGGCGCCTCCTGGTGGGACCAGCAATGCAGAAATTCCCACAGCTGCATGGACAGAGCTGGGGCTTGGGAAAGCGGCTGGGCAGGTGTGGGCTGAGAGGGCGCTCTGGTAGGGATGCAGGCAACGGCCTCCAAACAGAGAAGGGGAACAAAGCCCCCTGAGTCCACCCAGCCCCACCCAGATGCCTTCTGCTGGGAGTGCACTCAGAGGGAAGGGGATGGAAGAACTCAGTCTCCAGCCGCGGCCCCTGGAGGTCGGCATGTGAGCTGTATTGGTGGGGTGGGGCCGGGGTGGTGGCAAGACACACAGGTGAGGACCCACCCAGGGAATCAGATAAACAGTGACCAGAGCTTAGGCCGCTCATGAACGACACGTCCTTGCCGTAGTGAGATGCTCTGCTCATGCCTATCCACAGGAAAGACCTGTGTTTCTCAGGAAGCATGGAAACAGTTTGGGGTCCCTGCCCCCGCTCACCATCTCCTCCGACTGCTGCCATCTGCTCCTGCAGCGTGGCGGCCTGGGAAGCCTGCACTGGTGATTTTCTGCCACTCGAGTTTTGTGGACTTCGGGAAGATGGGTGCATAGCCTGGGGAAATGACAGTCACAGGCCCGCCTTGTCACAAGGTCCCTGCAGCCAGCAATGCCTAGAGCCCAGAGGCCGGGAGCACAGAGCCATCTTTGGCCACGCTCGATTTCCGGCAAGACCCCAGGGCCCACCCAAAGCCCTGCACTCAGCACTACAAGGCGGGTCAATTCTTCTAAAGACTCTGCAGAAATAGACCAACCACAGGGCTCGGGAAAGCAACTGAGTTTAAAACCGCATTCAATTTGTTTGCTTTCTCAGAGTTAAAGACACGTCTGAAGAAATTCAAGGTTTTATCTACAGAAACCTAATCCCTTTAATACATTACTAGGTCTTTTGAATAACAAAGTGAGTACTCTCATTAGGCGGAAGTGGAACTGGATCTGAATCTCTGCTCTACAGCAAGAAGCGCTGAGCGTTAGGCTCTTGTTTGAAAGGCAGGCACCCGTGTCCGTGGAAGAACCCAGGACTCCAGGGAGCACCGCGCTCGCCCCGGGTGGGGATATTGTGTGGTGAGGGGCTGATGGGATGTGTGTGTTGGTTCAGAACCTCTGCTTCTCTTTACAGATAAGCACGAAGGGTCACCTTCGGAGGAGCTAAATTGTTAGATGACGATCTTTGTGCCAGGAGAGTGGTGGTACTCTGACTCTTGCGGCCAGTGTATTTGAGCTTTTTCTCTTCATCAGCGGACAGAGGTGAAATCTCAAAAGCAGGTTCCAATGCCTAAAAGACAAAGTGCAGGGAAAATTTACATGTTTTCGAAGGTGAAATAAATTCTAATTCTAATACAATCAAGAGTAATTGGAATGTCCTAGAAAAAAATAGGGCAGAAGGTCGTGGGACGTGGACTGGGTTTTCCCCCTAACATGTTGATGAGAACAGGAACTCTCACGAACGTTCCAGAAGGAACCTTTGCGGAGCCAATGTTTGCTTTGCGTTTCTTATTGTGGTTCCTTGTTTCAAAATGATCACAGGATTCCCAAAGCTCCAGAATCAATAACGCCCAACATGTCTTCCTTTAGGCTCGGGTGTCTTCCCCGGGGAATGTGTTAACGAGGAGGAAATGTGGTGCTGCTCCCAGTGCTGTCACTGCAACTGGTCTGAGATTCGAAATGCAAAGTCCCCACTTTCCCTGTTGTCAGCATAGTCACCTGGAACCCGTGATCCTTCGGGTGGGAGGAGGTGTCTTAGGTCTGGAATGCTACACTATTCCCCACTCTGCCCTCTGAGGAGGAGGAGGAGGGAGTGAGAAGGGGAGAGGGCTGCTGTGAAGGAACCCTCAATGCCAGATCCAGAGTGGCTCACCCACACAGCCATGCCCGCGGTCCCTGGGTGCTCACGCCTCCGCCTTTTAGATGCTCAGTCCCTAAAATTGTGACTACACAGATACAGCGATGCATATTTAAGCTGTGGAATTCACATAACCCATTGTCTTTCTTCAAATCAGGTATGCTCTTGTGAGCATAGATGCGGTTCTTAAAAAGAGCCCCATGGTGACCAGTACAAAGCACACAGTCAAAAAGCTATTTGGAAATTCGCTAAGTTCTGATCTGGAAATAAGAGGAGGATGGAAACTGCAGGGCATGGGAGGACTGAATGACACCTCATTGATTCTCGGGTAATGGTTACGGTGACATCTCTCCTGACATACAATGACCGAATGGGGCAGTAGATGCTGTTTTTTAGGGACTGTCACACAACATATGCAGGGAAAAATCCCTGTGTGTCTTCTCTACCTTCTCCCCACAGAAGGTAGAGAATTCCAGGCTGTATTTGTGGGAATTTCCCCCTCTCTGCCTCTGACAGATGAACAGCCTGCCCGGCTTCTGCTCTTTCCTATGCAGAAGGACTGGGCGCTTTGCTGTGCTGAGAAGCTAAACCCACTTTCCTTCTGAGGCAACAGAAGCCACCTCCATGGAAACAAAGCTCTCACAGAGCTCCCAAAGAGTGGGCATAACTTCCAAGATTTCCCGGAATTTCCCGTAGAGGAACTTGTGGCTGGTCTTGCTGTGCTGGGAGAACAGACCCCAGAGAAGGCTCCTCGGGACTGTATTCCATGGGTGCGCACGCACGTGTGTGTGTGTGTGCGTGTGCGTGTGTGTGTGTGTGCGCGTGCGTGCATGTGTGTGTGTTGAAGTCACTGTGCCATATCAGAAATATTCCAAGTCCTGGAGGTACAAATTTAAAAGTTCCCACAATAAGTGCAGGTAGGAAATGTTAGTACTTTTCTTAGTCCACTAAGAAACATCCCCACTCACATTTGGAGGGTGTTCAGGTGGTTTCCTGTGTCGTTACCTGCACAGGTAATCTTAATGATTCAAGTTGTTTAGACCCACGTGCAGGAAACAGAAGCCAGACAAGGCTGTGATAACACTGGCCACATTCACACTCTCTGAGGCTCCTTCTTTGAGCCATGTGATCAAACGTGAAAGCTCAGTGTTCTATAAAGGCAGCTGGTGATGGGACGTGCCGACTACTTCAGGATGAGATGCTGGTCCTTCCTCCGGGATAGAGCAGGGTAGTGAGAGGGACCGGGGCAGGAAAGTCCTGGGCAGAGAAGGACGGGTCCATGGCTAGGGCTCCACATTCGGGCCTGTGCCCGTGGACCTCGGCATTTCTGCTTTCATGCCGAAATATTGCATTTTCCGAGACCACCCTGATGCACCACGATCCCATCCTGTGCCTATAGAAACTCACATGGCAGAGACACAAGCGGCTGGATGTCGAGAGGAACACACGGGCAGAATGCACCGGAAGACACAGTAGACGCCAGCAGGCCATCGACTGGTGGAATGATGTGGAGTTTGGTGGGGGCGGTCGGACGAGCCTCTGGCCGCTGGGTGGCCCAGCTCCGGTAAACCACCTTCCCATTCCATCCCCCTGCTGGCTCCGCCTTCTGCTGAGAGCTACCACCACTCAGTAAAAAACCTTGCACCCATCCTCCAAGCCCATGTGCGATCTGAATTTTCTAGTACACCAAGGCAAGAACTGGGGATACAGAAGCCCTCTGTCCTGTGATAAGGCAGAGGGTGTAACTGAGCTGATGAACACCAGCTTCCTACAGCCTGAACTGAAAAGAGTGCCCTGTAACACACGCCCACTGGGGCTGCCACTGTGAACATTCACCCCCCGCAGACACTTCCGTGGGGTTGTAGGGCCTGCCCGTCTGTACGCTCCCCTAGAGGTCTCAGCAGTGGGGCATGGAAGAAGCGGGCCACACCCCCATCACACACCCTGTGGGGGCGGGACAAGAGAACTTCTCCCGTTTCAAGAGGTCTCTACCTCATGCTACACAGCTGTCCTAGAAGATGAACAGAAGCCTGCCAGGATGCTGAGCTGGCTCTGGAGTCAGCCCGGGTTCAAATCCCAGCTCTGAGTTCTCCAGCCCACGGCTGTGATGGAGTTAGTGACAGCATCCATTTCACAGGGTCGTCATCCAGAGTAAGACCGTAAAGCCCCCAATCGGGCCCATGTAAAGTCCCCAGTAAGGCTTGGCTGCTGTTGTCCTGAGACAGCCTGAGCTGTTAGGATTTTAGACATGAGACACGCACCTGGAGGGCTGGGCTTCTGTCTGCTGGAGCGCCAGGTGAGAGGCCTCATGCATCCAGCTCTCATCAATCATTACTCATGGGAAATGGAGCTGCCGGAAAGACAGCAAGCCCTCCCGCCGCCTGCAGCGTGAGCGATACCGATACCACGTCGCCCAGCAATAAAGCCCACATCTTTACAAGGATGCTACTTTTACATAATGCAAACGATACAAAGACACAAATGCACTGTGGGTACCAGCGTGTGCGATCCGCGTCCCGCGTGTGGGGAGGCTGCCGGCTTCTCGGCTTTCCACTGTGGCCGAACCAGAGCTCTCAGTTCTTCTCGGAGCTCCAGGTTCTGCTTCCTCAAAGCATCTATGTGACTCTGGAGTTTCCTGTGAACGTCAGCCCACAGAGACTCCTGTCTCCCGAGCTCTTGGTCGAGTCTGGTGATCTGCTGCTGTAATGGCTGTTATTGGGAAGAGAACACCAGAAAACCCTCAGACATCACAACACCACATTCCCCTGCAAAATACCCAAGCCCTCTCTGATGTAAGATTGACTGTTTCTAGACAACGAGACACTCAATGGGATAAACAAAACTACCACAGCCTTTTCCTTTCTTTTCTTTTTTTTTTCTTTCTTTTCTTTTTTTTTTTTTTTTTTTTTGAGGCAGGGTCTCACTCTGTCACCCAGGCTGGAGTGCAGTGGCATGATCTCAGCTCACTGAAGCTTCAATTTCATGAGCTCAAGTGGTCCTCCTGCCTTGTGGCCTCCCAAGTAGCTGGGACTATAGGCATGCACCATTGCACTTGGCTAATTTTTGTATTTTTAGTAGAGATGGAGCTTTATTGTGTTGTCTGGAGTGGTCTCAAACCCCTGGGCTCAAGTGATCCGCCCACCTCAGCCTCCCAAAGTGCTGGGATCACAGGCATGAGCTACCATGCCTGGCCACAGCTTTATTCTTATTAAGTAGTGTTTATTATGAGTTAGTGCACGTAATATAACCAGATGAGGAGAATGTTGAACTATGATCCTTTGTTAAAACCCTACTACAGCAAAAGGAGGCTGGCATTCTTTTCCCTTTTTTTTTTTTTCAAGAGAGTGTCTTGCTCCGTCAACCCAGGCTGGAGTGCAGTGGTGCAATCTCAGCTGACTGCAACCTCTGCTTTCCAGGTTTAAGCAATTCTGGTGCCTCAGCATCCTGCGTAATTGGGATTGCAGCACATGCTAGCAAACCTGGCTAATTTGCGTATTTTTAGTAGAGACGAAGTTTTGCTGTGTCGTCAGGTTAGCCTCAAACACTGCGCTGGCGTGGATGTGCCGTCAACAGTTTAAGAATTCTGGAAGGCACTGCATTTAAACCTGACATGTTAGCCTTCCCATGATCCTTCATTGGACCGTGGAGGCTGCAGCCTTGCCCCGAAGAGAAGCAGGATGGTGATAGAGGTGCAGTCCTGCACTGCGTGGCGCTGGCCACAGGGACCCGTGGGACTTTAGTGAGAGCGAGCACTGCCCAACGGGGTCCGGCGAGGAAGCTGGTAAAGTCAGGAAGTTTGCTGGGATCATGTGAGGCAAATCAACCCCTGAGTTTCTTTAATGAAGTTTTTGAAGTCTGGCGCCTTCTCCTGGACGAGAGGAGAAAGGCTGGAATTTCACGTTTCCTTTAACTCCCCGCCCTGCCTCCCGTCCACCGAGAGAGAAGGTTGCAGAGGACAAGAGCCACGTGCCCTCGGAGAGGAGGTGCGGCATCAGCGTCCTGGGGTGGCGCTTTCCTACAGGAATCTGGCGAGAGAAAGTCCAATGATGGGCCTCAGGGACAGGAATCAGGGTCCCGCCTGGTGGGACTAACTCTGTCCCCACAGAGCTCAGCTCACCGGCATCTCCCCAGCATTGCTGTCCTCTCTGGGGACCTCGGCTGCCACAGCTGTCTTCTCTGTGTCAGGCGCAGCTCCCGGCCATGGGTCCTCTGGGTGGGTGTCCTCCTTGGGCTCCCCGGCCTCCAGCTGACCCTCCAGCATCCTGGTTTGGAAGGGAAGGGCCATGGGGAGGCCTGAATGCAGTCACCTTACCCCTGAAGGCTCAGCCTCAACCGAAGAGTGAGCAGGAACCACAGCAGCTCTTCTCCCCCTGGGTCCTGTGCACATTCCCAAGCGGGAGGCTGTCCAGGTGAAAGGACACCACGGACAGAGGGGACTGATGGTCCACACCTGGCTCTCCACCATCCTCCATGGAAAACGCTTAGTTCCTAGAAGATCAGCCTGACATCTAATGCACTCTCACCATCCAGAGAGAGGTGTGAGTGGGATGGTCATGGGGTGTGAGTGGGTATGAATGTGATGTGAGTGGGGTGTGAGCAGGTGTGAGCAGTTGTGAGCTGGTATGAGCAGGTGTTAGCAGGATGGTTGTGGGGTGTGAGCGGCTGTGAGCTGGTGTGGGTAGTTGTGAGATGTGAGTGGGATACTTAGGTGTGAGTGGGCTGTGAGCAGATTCGTTGTGGGGTGTGGGTGGAGTCTGAGTGGGAGGGTCACATGGTGTGAGCAGGATATGAGCTGGTATGATGGGGTGTGGGGTGTGAGCGAATGTGAGTGGAATGTTCGTGGGGGTGTGAGAGGATGTGATTAGGATATCATGGGGGTGTGAGATGGTCATGGGGGTTGGAGCAGAGTGTGAGTGGAATGGTTGTGGGATGTGAGCAGGTGTGAGTGGCATGGTTGTGGGATGTGAGTGGGTGAATGGGATGGTTGTGGGGGTGTGAGCAGGTGTGAGTGGAATGGTTGTGGGGGTGTGAGCAGGTGTGAGTGGCATGGTTGTGGGATGTGAGCAGGTATGAGTGGAATGGTCATGGGGGTGTGAGTGGGATGGTCGCGGGGGTGTGAGCACGTGTGAGCAGGGAGTGAGTGGATGGTTGTGTGCAGCAATGAGGGAATTCTCGGCCCTTTAATGAGCACCCACCTGGAGGGGCACAGGAGACCCTCCATTGTGTGAGTCTGAGTCTTAAACCATCAGGGCGGCACTTGTGAACTCACGGTGAAGACGTGGAAAAGAAACACCTTTTTATATGTACAGCATTTATGCCAGTTGGAGGAAACTCACCGCATCAGAAAACAAAAACGAAAGAGAACGCACATCTTTCCTGCAAGCCTGCGGGGTCCTCTGTGAAAGCCGCCTCCACCCTGCCTGGCCCTCTTGGTTGTAGGAAGCCAGCGGCCCCCATTAAACCCCGACTGTTTATTCACAAACCTCTAATTCTATAAAACATGAGAGTGGACAGCTTCACCACAGTGACTGGAGAAATGCTGTTGAAAAGAGTCTCCTGATGGGAGCGAATCAAAGGTCAAGAGCAAGACCTAAGGTCACGGGATCACTGGCCGCTCCTTCCCCGCGGGGACTGGGACAGTTTCTGCGCAGGTGGGCTGGGGTCCGAGGTCCTCACAGCCCTGAGAAAGTGACTTCTTTCCCGCTCCTCCGAGGGGATATCCCAGTGTCCTCGGCCCCAAACTCGTGACCCTCTCAGTCCAGAGAAGACCCCTTCCCTCAGCCCAGTACCAGACCTTGTCACCTCACCTGGTCGCTGATGCTCACGTCTGCCAGGACCGGCTCATCTGCGCCGTGTCCCCATGACTGTCCCTGAGCCCTCCCGCCTCATCTCCAGAGCCCAGAGGGCAGCAGACGCTTCCAACGGACTTTCTGTCTTAAAGGGGCGCGAGCGCCTCACTCAGCGTCACCACTGTGCTAGCTCAGGTCGCAATTAAACACCCAAGCCTGCAATTCTGATATAGAAGCTCAGCGTCAGTGGAGTCCGTGCATCCACAAAGGACACTGGACAGAGTCAAACAGCTCCTCCCAATGCACAAAAAGCAATGTGCCTAGTATCGTCTTCAATATGCAACATACAGTAGGAGCTCATTTCTCCGAGCAGACATTCCTGAAAAGATACAAACATTCTTCGGATGTCAAGTTATTTACTGGAAAAGCATCTTTATGAAGGAAAAAGAATATATATGAGTTTAAGTAGGAGACAGGATTCAGAATCTCACCATTTCACCCCAAATGCATCTCCATCTGAATTGTCTGTGTGCTTTTTGTGCTAGAGAATGGGGAGTAAGGAGAGTGACGTTCCCGTTAAACCCTGGCCGTCCTTCCCGTCCACGCTGCTGTGTGTGGAAAACACACACCTGTGGCTCACCTGCGCCTGCCTGGGACATGTGTCACTCGGATGGTTCCGCAAGAGACTCACACACACAACAGGCAGCAAACGCCGACATCACGAATGAATGAAGAAAATACCACAAGGAGGAAACAGAACACACTGTTGTCCCGGTGCCTCATTCTCACCATGGGAGTGTGTGTGTCCTGAGGTGTGTGAGGGGTTGTGTGTCCTGAGGTGCGTGAAGTGTTGGGTGTCCTGAGGTGTGTGGGGGTTGTGTGTCCTGAGGTGTGTGAGGGGTTGTCTGTGTCCTGAGGTGTGTGAGTTGTGTTTGTGTTCTGAGGCATGTCAGGGGTTGTGTGTGTCCTGAGGTGTGTGAGGGGTTGTATGTCCTGAGGTATGTGAGTGGTTGTCTGTGTCCTGAGGTGTGTGAAGTGTTGTGTCCTGAGGTGTGTGAGGGGTTGTATGTGTTCTGAGGTGTGTGAAGTGTTGTGTGTCCTGAGGTGTGTAAGGGGTTGTGTGTCCTGAGGTGCGTGAAGTGTTGTGTGTCGTGAGGTGTGTGAGGGGTTGTCTGTGTCCTGAGGTGTGTGAGGGGTTGTATGTGTTCTGAGGTGTGTGAAGTGTTGTGTGTCCTGAGGTGTGTGAGGGGTTGTGTGTCCTGAGGTGCGTGAAGTGTTGTGTGTCGTGAGGTGTGTGAGGGGTTGTCTGTGTCCTGAGGTGTGTGAGGGGTTGTGTGTCCTGAGGCGTGTGAGGGGTTGTGTGTCCTGAGGTGTGTGAGGGGTTGTCTGTGTCCTGAGGTGTGTGAGGGGTTGTGTGTCCTGAGGCGTTTCAGGGGTTGTGTGTGTTCTGAGGTGTGTGAGGGTTTTCTTTAGTCTTCCCCAGCTGCTCGTCCTGCGGCAAACACGTGTGGCTGCGGGTCAGGGCTGAGCCTCCTGGGGTTTGGACTGTGGGGACCTTCCCTTCTCTCTGATAGCAGAACTTCCCGTGTTCTGTTCACCCTCC